ATACCTGTATGGTAAATAGAGACCCTGTTGCTGTGTGTATATATGTAAAAGTACGGTATATACTTATGTGTGTGTCCACAGTGTTTATTATGAAAATTGTGTGTGGAAATCAATGCAAAGATGAAAATACCATTTTTCCTTGCTATATTGTACAATACTTATGGATATATATGGACATTTTCGCCTAAAGTTTCACCAAAGAAAATATATAAAAAGGTAATGTATCTCAATTTCTGTATCGTAAAGTCCATAGCGAAAATATCTTTTGTTAAAATAATTTTTGAAATCTATACATTGCTTCAAAAATATTATTAGAAGTGAAAATTAGAAATATTTTTCATTGTGACTTTAAATATGACTTATAATCGAAACAAATAAAATATATTTCGAGTCTCGAAGAAGTTGTTTAAATAACTGCAATTTTATTCATTAACCTTATTGGCTTGAGTTAATTTAATAAATAATAGCACTCATGGAATTGATGTTGAAAATAATTAATCTATTTTTCTTCAATTGGGTTTGTTAGATAAATGATAATTTTACTAAAATTCTAAGAAAATTAATGGGAAGCCATCTAAGTATATTTAAGAAATGTAATCATTAAATGTGTATTTTCCATTCGTTAGTTTGCGGTAAATCGAACAAACAACTGGTATAAATCACATAGACTGGCATAATTAAATATAGAAATGCATAAAAAGTTATGATACCACTTCAATGATACATCCTCGTGCTAGCTAGAGGTGATCTCTAAACTCCTTATAGTGTAGAATTGAACAAAAAACTAGTATAAAAACTGTACTGCTAAAATTAAATACAGAAATAATAAGAAGTGAGTGTATCATACTAAACATACTTTACATAGGATCATTCTGCGGACTTCAACTCGATAATTTGACTTTCCTCAGAAAAAGTTTAATCATGTTGACTAAAATACCGCTTCGTTTTTCTAAGCTTAAGGGTAATGAATTGAAAACTCAACTGGTATAAAACTCAATAACTGGTATAAATCTTATAAGCCAGTATAAAATTCACGAACTGGCAAAAATAGCACAAACTGTTGTAAATTTGGTAAACTGTAATGAATTTCATAATCTGGTATAAATTTCATAAACTGGTATAAATCTGATAAACTGGCATAATTAAGCATAGAATCATTAGCAAATGGTCATGGCACAAAATNTCTACTAAATTCCAACATTTTCGACAAATGAATTTTATTTCAATTTGAGACATCATATCCAACTGAATAAAATAATTAAAAATGTCATAAATAAAAAGGGTAAATTCATGTAAATTACGCACCTCCTGCTTAAAATGCAATTCAATCACTTCTCGACCATTCATACCTTCTTTGCAGTCCAAATCTATTTGATCCTTTGAACTTTCTAAGCATAGTAAACAACATGTCTCATTAAACATTTTAATGACTTCCTTCAATGTATATTGAAATAAAACAATAAACTTCTACAGAACAATTTGTTTACAACACGCCAGTGATCCCACTTGTTTAACAATAAATATAAATTGTGACGAACACGGATGATAGAACAAAATCGAATCGACGATAAATTGCCAGAAGCAACTAGACAGCGAATTCGTAGTTGCCAGAATGTTCTAGTAGTAAAGTAGTTAGCGAATTCGTAGTGGCCAGAATGTTCTAGAAGCAATGTTTTGTTACAGATTTACTATATAAGGGCTGCCGGATTGTGCAGCAAACACAGTTCTAGTTAGTGTTGTCGTGATAAGAGCAATTAAGCTATAAGCAAGAAGTTGTAAGCTCGAATAACGAGCAATAAGTGTTAAGTTGTTGGAATAAGAAATAAAGATAAGTGTGTAGCCATTAAATTGGGACTTTTATTTATCAATCCAGTGATCGAACTCAAGAGTGAGTTACAGGTAGACGATTTATCGAGAAATCCGTTACAATATTATCAAATTTAAACAGGGTGTTGCAACCTTATCGATAACTCAAGTAGTGAGAATGAAAACACATCGATAGTGTTATATTGGAATGAATTTGAATAATTGGGTTGGGTATACATCCTCTAGTTACAAAGCCTTTCGCTGTGAGCAAATCAAACATTTTTTTAATTTCAGCCTACTATACTATTTTGAGTTTAATGAAAGGAATATCAGTTTGACATACCAAATAAGACTTTATCAATAACTAATAAAAAAGAAAACTTTTGGGTAGATCTTGGACAGCTCATTGTTTGCAAATTTTTTTTTTTTTTTTTACAAATTTCAAATATTTATTTTGGAAAACAGCCAAGAGTAGTTTGTTTTTGCTTTTTGTATAAAATTGTATTCTATTCTATTTGCTCCATGGTCTTAAGTTTATTTCTGTTAACTCATAATATTTAAATACATATGTACGTATATATATTTTTATAATATTTTTTAAATTAAATAACATCGCCTGGAACCTTTTTCAGCAACATGGCGCTTATTTTATATTAATTTTTTGTTACCCCTTTCCCATTTTGTAATTAAGTTTTTATGGTCATATTAAGAAAAAGTTATTCTCCTGTCGATATCAACTAGTTTTGAGCCTGCTGCACCATTCTTGTTGAAATAATTTGCTTTGCACATTTTTCAGTCCACTCCTTTGGATGTTTTTGCTTACGATGTGTATACATATTCGATCTGGAGTTGAAAGTTTTAGGGCAGAATGTGCAAGTATACAATATTTCTCCGGTGTGTGTGGTCATATGTTCCTAAACAATAATTTATATATAAATATTTTAACATTGGATTATTTCACAGTAAATTGGAATGCTATTATTTACCTTTAAAGAATAAGCCAATTTAAATGCTTTGTCACAAACATTGCAAACGTGACTTTCCCCGCTATGCTCATATTTCATATGTCTTTTATGCGCCCGTAGCGTGGGAGATACTTTAGAGCAAACTGGACAGGTCTGCGGTGTTTGATACTTTTCGGTGTGCATCAATTTCATATGTCTCGCCAGATTATACTTCGACTTTACCTCCACATTGCATATTTTACATTTCTCCAATGGTTGTTGCACACCAGCATGCTCTTCCTGATGCCGTTGAAAGTTTTCGTTGCCGTTCAGTGATTTGCCACAAATATCACAAATTTTGGCATATAAATTGAGATGGCTCAGATTTAGATGTTGTTTCATAGTGTACTGATTGCAGAATCTAAATTCATAAATGTCTACATTTTTTTTTCTAATTTTATAACTTTATTTTTAACTTACGTTTTCTCACACTGAGTGCACTTCACATTTCTCTTTTCTTCGGGTGCGTGTATAAAGTAATGCCGTGCAAGAACTTTGGGTCGGTAAAAACCTTTGGAACATATTTTACATCTGTATATAGTACGATCTTTGGAATGAGAATACTGTAAATGTGATGCGAGACTGCTTCGATCGCATACTACTTTTCCACAAAGTTGACACTTGAAGTATTCGGAATTATTATGAACGTGAATATGGTCAACGAGAACGCCTCGACTGTACAACTTTTTACCACAACACTTAGCATAGCCATTGGTTTGATGCTCTTGGCGATAATGAGTTTTTAATTCTCGAAAAGTTTTCAAAGATGTCTCACATAAAGAGCAGGCCAATTTAAAATTTTGTGCAATGAATTCATCATGATCCGATGTTTTATATCCTTTTTTATTGTAGGGCCTGGTGGCTCTTTTTGTTTCTGTTTTCCGTCTTTTCTCTTCCTCATCATCTTCTTGACTTTTAGAGTTTACAGAAGCTGAGCTTATTAGCCTACTGTTTTCACCATCCGAGCAATCGGAATCCTTTTCTTCACCCTATCAATGAAGAATGATAATTATTGATAAATAGATTGTAAACATGAATTTTCGCACTACTTGTTTAAATAAATATACATCGTCCCATTTTTCGAAATTATCGTATGTTGCAAAAAAATTAAGTTTTACATTGGCACGTACAATAACAGAATGAATAACAATGCGAATAAAAAGTTTATTTGAACTTATAAAAGGATTTTAGTTTTATATAGCATTTTTTTATTTCATAAAATTAATTAGTAATAATGTTTAATTTATGAATAATTTTTCATTGGATTCGTATATAATTTATATACTCCACATGATACAATTTTTTGATGCAAAGATTTGTTAGGTCATTAAGCTTTTTTGTTGAATTGCATAAAAAGTTTTTATATAATAATTTAGCACTACAATTTTATGGTTTGAATGTTAGAATTATACAAAAATAAATATTAGAAAAAGTGAAGAAAGTTTTTTTTTTCAAATGTAGCAATTCGAAGCTTAATTAATAAAATATTTTTTTTTTTTGGTAATTGACAACTTTGCAAATTTCTCTCAATTTTGAAAATCTTTATGATTCATTTTTACACAGCAGTATCCGTATGGATGGGGCGGGAATTGCGTATAATTGTGGGCCATTCACTTGGCTTTTGGCTCTACAATAATGGGCTGGAGTTACCGGCACCATTTCGATATTAGAATTAGAATAAGAATAGTATGAAGTTTGCACCGCGACCTAGGGTCTATTGTGCCCTCTATCTCCATCACATGTATTCCCAAAGTCCCAGCAATCTGACAAACTCCAGAAACCTGCTGGGTGCTATTGAGGTAATGTGATCCCTGTCCACATAAATGGAACCGAGGGTCCTGCGTCTACAAATTGCTTTGCAATCTAGAATCAGGTGTTCTGGTTCGGCTACATGTCGTAGAACCGGCAGTTTTCTCAAGAAGTTATGCCCATGTTGGACAAATGCTTCTTGAGTCTGCAGTGCCCAGTGTAGAGCGCGACAACAAGCCGGAATTTGTCTCTGGGGAGGTTTATCATAGCTTTGAACCTGGCTTGGTTGTACTCTTCCAGTAACTGCTTAGCATGACGCATACTTGTTGCTTGCCGCCAGTGACTTTCTCTGCCCACTCTCTCCTCCGTGCGGAGCAGCTTCTTTATTGTGTGGGACCCCACCGCGATGCATGGTTCTGGCCCCATCATCTTAGAAGCAGCAGCAGAGCGGGCGAGTTCGTCGGCCAACTCGTTGCCGGATACCACTTTGTGGAATCACTCCAGTCCGCCTTACTACCGAGAGTAACTTTAAACTTTTATTTCTATATATGATTGAAGTAGTAAAGTTTCTTAGCATCCGTTTTATTCTGAGGTATTTTTTTTTGATTATCCGAACTTCGCTGTTTAAGCGTATATCTAATCGTCATTTGTGAAATGTTCAAAGTTTCCATAATACATTTTTTACACACTGCAAAAGTAATTCTTTCGTTTACTAAGCTATATTCAAAAGATCTATTACGTCTTTTTATGTGTTTTGCGGGAGCCCTTCTACGACTTATTGGTTTCGGTTTAATGCCATACAATACCCATACTTTTATCCTTATTGCAGATAATCCCCAGTAGTGATCATTAATACGCTCAAGAGCAGGTTTAGAAAAGCGATTGCAATCTCTACCATAAACGAAGTTAAGGCACGGATTGGCTTTCACTTTTTTTTTTTAATATTGAAGAAATTTTACATGAATTCATTTTTTTGTAACCACGCTCTCCGACACAGCTCTCGTCCTCAATTCTATCACTTTTGCTATCACTATAAGTAACTAGAGGAACTGGGGCATCTGCATAAAAGAATGTATATAAATTCCACTTTAGAATTCTTTTGAAAAAATTTTAATGATCATTTAGAATAGAAACAGGTCACTGCATCCAAATTCATACACAAAATACAAATAGTATAATTAAAGGACTACGAACTTACCGTCTGTATTTAAAGCCAATAACATTAATATATTAACATATATTACATTAAATTTTATGTATTATATTTTGTGAAATTGTAAGCTTGTGCTGTGTCTCAGAAAAACTGCACTATTATCTTGGTAATATATTATCACAGTGAGTGTAAAGTCGTAATTGTATACGATAATTTTGCTATCAAAGATAATCGGTATGGCACATACGCTAAAATGTAACTCGTAATATCTTTCTAACTACAAGGATTATAATATTTTACCAGAGGATGAGTGGGTAACTTTAGAACAACCTTGCATCTAAAACTCAATTTCGTAAAAATGACAAACATATACGGGAACAAAATATGTATATATATTTTTATACTCTCGCAACCTGTTGCTACAGAGTATAATAGTTTTGTTCACCTAACGGTTGTTTGTATCACCTAAAACTAATCGAGTTAGATATAGGGTTATATATATATATATGATCAGGATGAAGAGACGAGTTGAAATCCGGGTGACTGTCTTTCCGTCCGTCCGTCTGTCCGTCCGGCTGTCCGTCTGTCCGTCCGTCCGTGCAAGCTCTAACTTGAGTAAAAATTGAGATATCTTTATGAAACTTGGTAGACATGTTTCATGGTACCGTGAGACGGTTGGTATTGCAGATGAGCGTAATCGGACCACTGCCACGCCCACAAAACGCCATTAATCAAAAACAAATAACTTGCCATAACTAAGCTCCGCAATAAGATACAAGACTGTTATTTGGTACACAGGATCACATTAGGGAGGGGCATCTGCAGTTAAAATTTTTTTTTAAAAAGTGGGCGTGGTCCCGCCTCTAATAGGTTTAATGTGCATATCTCCTAAACCGCTAATGCTATAATAACAAAATTCACTGGAAGCAAATATTTTTAGCACTTCTATTGACGGTGTGAAAATAGTTGAAATCGGGTGGCAACTCCGCCCACTCCCCATATAACGGTACTGTTAAAAACTACTAAAAGCGCGATAAATCAAGCACTAAAAACGCCAGAGTCATTAAATTTTATCTCTGGGATGGTATGAGATGACTTTATAGGAACCGCGTTCAAAATTAGACAGTGGGCGTGGCACAGCCCACTTTTAGGTGAAAACCCATATCTTGAGATCTGCTTAACCGATTTCAACCAAATTCGGTGCGTAACGTTCTTTTCGTGTTTCTATGTCATAGTGCGAAAATGGGCGAAATCGGATTACAACCACGCCTATTTTCCATATGACACCATTTTAAATACCACTTGATTCTTTCACTTTCCACTATGCAAATCAAGCAACAATGCTTATATCGGCGTAAAACTTTGCGTGAATAATACGTTTAAAGTATGCCACCTTGTGACCAAAAATTTTCTAAATCGAACCAAAACTGTTCAAGCCCCTAAGTACTAAATATGTGGACCCCAGTGCCTATAGTTGACCTTCTACCGAAAATATCAGTCAATCCACAAAGAAATCTCAAACGAGTATACCATTTGACTTTGCGAGAGTATAAAATGTTCGGTTACATCCGAACTTAGCCCTTCCTTACTTGTTTTTAAATAATTTTTTTACTTACGACTGGTGATGAAGCCAATTTGTCTATATCATCCGGTTCCATTTTAATGTCTGTGATGGTTATTTCCAACTCTTGCAAAGCCTTCAGCTTGTTACTTGCTTGTAGATGGGCGTTTGTTACCTGAATATAAAATTCGTGAAATGCCTGTACCGATCCCCAACATTCTTTGCATACGATCTGATTTGATAATGTTGACATCGTGAAGATCTATATAGCAATAAAATTTGAGAGTAAAATCGCATTTTAATCTAAATTAAATTTACCTCTTCATTGAAATGTTGTTCAATTATATTCCGCACATTTACTGATTCCGAGTTATCGCTATTGATATTTATTCTGTTATCAGTTGGACTAACTCTTTCTAAACATAGCAGACAACACTGACCAAAATCCATTCTATAAATTTAATTTACTAATAAGTTGCTCTATAAAATAGTAAACAATGTTTTAACCATGAATAAAATGATCCGAACTCTTTGATTTGAGAGAGCGCTGTCAAAGTCCACATTTTTTTATAACATTTGACAGTGGTGCCATTAAGGGAAGAAATAAGTTTTGAGATTTTTAAATGTATTTCTTGGGTATTTTTAGGTTTCCATTTTACAGAAAAATATGCATAATTAAAATTAGTTTAACAAGCTAGATATCCTATATGACTTCTAAATATAAGTACATGTATAGAATAGATAGTGATTGAGGTATGCACCGCGACCTATGGTCTATTGTGCCCTCCCCTAAGTCACAGCGACTCATCTAGCCCTAGCGTATTGATGAACTCCAATATACTGCTAGGCGCCAATGAGGCGATGCGATCCCTGTTTGGAAACATGGATCCCAGGGCCTTGACTCTACGTCTGCAGACAGCTGTGCAGTCCATTAGTAGGTGTTCTGGGGTTTCCGACTCCATGTCGCAGAACCGGCAGTTTGCAGAGGAGACCAAGCCCATGTTAAATAAATGCTTGTTAAGCCTGCAATGTCCGGTGTAGAACCCGACCAGAAGTACATGTATACTTTAATCACAAAAGATTTTCAAAATTAACGATAAAAACTAAATGTAACAAAATATTTTAATATTTCAAAACACACAAGTTTTAAATAACCTAAACATGATCCTTATTTCTTTTTTATATACTCAATTAACAAATATATTTTGATAATTTATTTGGAAGTCAAAGTTTACATAACATTTGCTGGGAATTCTAACCAAAATAAGTATATACGTTGGCAATTGGTACTGCTAAGCAAAATAATACTCTGCGACAAAATACCACTCTTTCTTAAAAACAAAACTATATTAAATCTCTTTAAATAAAGATTACAAATATACGTAAAAGTCAACAAAAAATCTGATCTCACAAATTACCCACTGATTTCGCAATTAATTTCTGCGGGATTCTTAGTGGTAGTTCATTGTTTTGCTTGTCATCTGTTCAGTAGCTCATGAACTAGTGGTTTTTCTTGGCAGCACTGAAAGTTTATGAGCTCTTTCAGAAAGCAAAGAGAGGAGTTTCGGTCATATTATCTATGGTTTTAACCAGCGATCGAATATATGCATCGATAAAATGAAATCATCAATTTTAAGCTTTCGATAAATTGAATGTATTTGTATCTATTCTCTTAGTATTTTGCTGTTATTCAAATTATAAAGTTAAAAAATGTAATCAATAGCTTGTAGGATATCATTTTCCATATATTTTGAATATATTGTACATTTATTTGAAAAAATTTATCGGTAATATTGTGAGGTTATTTATCGAAACATCGATGCATTGCCATAGATTATCGTATTAAAGGTCAATTTCATTTTACAAGTATTATAATTGACGACGTGGTTTATATATTTTCGATGATTGTATAAATTTAAATTGAATTGCAATAGATAATTTTGCGTTAAAAATGTTTATTGGTTATTATTTATTTAAATCGATAAAATACCCACATTGAAAACATTTTTATCTTCCTTATTTCTTAAATCATTGAACTGATTTCAATAGTTTTTATTGTATATAATTTGTATATTTTAATATATGTACGTACATAAAAATACATTTAACATTTAATGATGATGAGCTTCTCCATTTATTTTTTTTCATTCGCATCATTCACAGATCCGATTATGGATTCTAAATCCTTTTGTATCTGTTGTCCCATTCCAGTGGAAGTATTTCGCTTTGCACATTTTTCCGCCCATTCTTTAGGATGTTTTCGCTTTCGATGTGCATACATATTCGCATTCGAATTGAATGTTTGTGGACAAAATGAACACGTATATAAAACTTCTCCGGTATGAGTTGTCATATGTTCCTACAACAAAAAATGTATTTTATTAGAAAAATAAAGCTTACCAAAAACATATAATTGTACATACTCGTAAGTCTTTGGGTCGTTTAAAAGCTTTGTCACACATTTTGCAGATGTGTTTTTTCTCTGTGGCATGCATAAATTTAAAGTGGGTATGATGCGCGCGGAGAGACGGTGATATTTTAGAGCATACTGGGCAAACTTGAGGTGTTTGATATTCCTCGGTGTGCATTACTTTCATATGCCGTGCTAAACCATACTTCGTCGTCAATTCAGCATTACATAATTCACACTTAATCGGTAATCTTGGTATACCAGCGTGCTCCTGCTGATGCCGGCGAAATGCTTCACCTCCATGGAAAGATTTTCCACAAATGTCACATATCTTCGCATACGAATGTAGATGAACTATTTTTAAATGCTGTAGCATATTGTATTTGTAGCAGAAGCTGCAAATATACGAATAGATTCAGAATTGGTGTTAAAAATGAACTCTATCATACTTACGTCTTCTCACACTGAGGGCATTTGATATTCTTCTGTTCTTCAGGTGCGTGTATAACGTAGTGTCGATTGAGTAATTCACGACGAAAGAATCCTTTAGAACAAATATCACAGCGATAAATACGTTCTCTAGAACCGTGTGAAAATTGAAGATGCGCCTCAAGGCCACGCCCATCGGCAAATAGTTTTTCACAATGTTCGCATTTGAAGTATTCTGGGTTGGTATGAAATTTTATATGATCAACAAGTACACCACGTCTGATTAGTTTTTTACCACAACACTTCACATAACCATTAGTCTGATGCTCTTCCCGAAAATGAATTTTAAGTTCTCTAAAGTTTTCTAGTGGGTTTTCGCAAAGAGCGCATGTTAGTTTAAAATTTTTTGCAATAAACTTGTCATAATCCGATGTTTTATTTCGTTGTGTATTTAATTCCTTCACCTTACTTTTTTTCTCCGTACGCTTTCGTTTTTGTCTTTTCCTGGTACGGACTGTTTTCTGTTTATGTGGTGCACCTGTTTCTAAGTCCTTTGCAGGACTGCTAGGCTCTGCATCTCCTGATTCGTTGTCTTTATTAGACATTTGTGGTGAGTAAATTGGATCAGTAGATTCGAATTCATCCGGTATTAACTCACTCTTAACTTCCAAAAACTCCAAGTTTTTATCTTGTGTTTTGTTAATTATACTGTTATAAGGAAAAGTAAGTGGTTCAATTCGAACACTGCACTCTTTTAAAACAATTGATGACTGCGCTTCCAAAGCATGTTCGTTGGGCTTTTCTCGCCGTGGTCGTCCACGACGACGTTTTGGGGGTGAAGCAAGCTCGTCTAATGCATCAGGTTCCATTTTTATATCAGTAACGGCTATCTCTAACTCTTGCAAGGACTTGAGCGTGTTAGTTGCCGCCAAGTGAGCGTTTTGTACGCGGAGATAGAACTCATGAAATGATTGTAACAGTCCCCAGCATTGTTGACATAACACTTTGTTTGTAAGGTACGGCATCATGGTTAGCTGTATTTGGGAATTGACACATGTACATATATAAACTATAATAAGTCCTTTAACAAAAGGTTTACCTCTTCCTTAAAATGTTGTTCAACCATTGCACGAGCATTTACTGATTGCGGATCATCAGAATCAATATAAATTTGACCATTTGAAACATTGTTTTTTTCCAAGCATAATAAACAGGACAGTTTGTCAAACATCATCCGTTTTTATAAAAAACAAAACCTAATTATGGTTTTATGAAGTGTGCTTCTTAATATTTTTATTTTTAAACTACAAAACCTATAGTTTATATGTAAAAAAAATGTTGCCACCTGATACAAGTTTTATTTTTAAAGGAGATGTTATAGGAGATTAAAGTAAGTATTTATGGAATGAAAAGACTGCGATTTACAATAAAAATTAAAATTAAAATTACTGATAGAGAATGTTTTTTAGATTAATAATATATAGGCTTACAAATTTTAGATTATTTGTTAATATAATTCATAAACTTAACATGTTTAATGTCTTTTTTGGATATGCTAACCTGTTTTTTTGTTTTTTGTTATATTACGTGTAAATCGCGTGTAACGACATCACTTAATAAACCTTCAGATAACAGCTGATTTTGTTTGAGTATTTTGTTGTGGCAAAGTGATTAGTTTTTTAATGGGGTGGGCTTTAGTTTAGCATCCCACGATTTCAGGGTTAAGAGGGGTATGGTTGGATAGAGAAGATTCTCCAGATCACGAATATATATAATTATTGCCGCCGGAAACTTATAGTTTTCGTTTTGTACCTGCTGCCCGCGGCTGATGCCTCCACGAAATGACTCTTAATGTTTGAAGTTTTCTAATGATGCTGACAAATGCAACAAGTAAATTGAAAATGTTTCTTTGCGATATATTCATCTGATTCCAGTTTTTAACGCCGCTTTTATTTAATTTTTACGACACGGTCTTTTCGTATTTATATTCATTTTCTCCTATTTCTTCCGAGTCAGACTATAAGGCTGATATAGAATTATCCATACATTCTTCAAGTGAAGTCTCATCTTTAACCTCTAATGCTTCAGAAAAATCTCAGGACGATTAATTATATTTTCGAGACTAATTGGGCGGGTAGTATTAATTCTTCAATTTTAACTGACATTCCTTAAGTGGTATAGAAGGCTCACAAAACTTCGACAGTTTCAGGTCTTCTTTGACGTCTAGGACGTCCCCTATCGTCTGGTTCAACTTTTATGTCGTTATTATGTATGATTTCTTCTTTTATTTCTAAGATATCATTTTCCAAAGTCACGCTTTTCAATGTGTTCGCCGCTTCCTTGTGCACTTGTTTGACATTGTTCTATAAATTTATGAAATGTTTCTACTAAATTCAACATTTTCGACAAATGAATTATTTCAATTTGAGACATCATATCCAACTGAATAAATAATTAAAATGTCATAAATAAAAGGTAAATTCGTATAAATTACGCACCTCCTGCTTAAATGCAATTCAATCACTTCTCGACCATTCATACCTTCTTTGCATCAAATCTATTTGATCCTTTGAACTTTCTAAGCATAGTAAACAACATTATTAAACATTTAATGCTTCCTTCAATGTATATTGAAATAAAACAATAAACTTCTACGAACAATTTGTTTACAACACGCCAGTGATACTTGTTTAACAATAAATATAAATTGTGGAACACGGATGATAGAACAAAAT